TATTTATGCATGTTTGCCTAGCTATTTACATTTATATGCATGTGTTCTTGTTGTATAATATGCTAATAATTTGATATTTGATTTTTATATTAAATATCAAGTCAGTTGAGAGATCTACAGAGCTCATGTTAACGTTGTTGAATCATACATACATGTATCATGCCCGACCCTAAATTTTCTTACTTACGCAAATAGAGTTAATATAGTTATACAAGCAAATATAGTTATACAAGCAAAGCTGCGTTGATATTTTCAAAAAAGACCTCAACATATATGATATGTTATTACTATTGGTAATTATTATTATTCAGATAGCTCACTAAAACTCATTTACCGTTGTTCTTGATAGTATATATATACACAACAGACACTGGACTTCCAGAACAACAGCATAACATGCTACGAATGAATTTAATACGATCAGAATATACCTTGCAAAAATTCACACTTTAATCAGTTCACGAAGATAAACTACGTCTTCTTCAAACCAGTAGTTAATAGGCAACTATGGACAGGTCAATTAATTTATCAACAAGTCAACTTAGAGCAAATAAGGGAATTATGTGCACTTTTGACACAATTATTAAATTACTTTATAAACTCACGAAGCAGCAGACAGAGCATGGTACACAATATCCTCTTTTCTTTGAAGTGCGATAATGTTATTGTATATATACATGTATTGTTTATAATATTTTTGATTGTCATCATCATCTTACACGGATATGTGAACATTGAGGATACCTTTGTATTTTACTATCACATTTCTTTTACATGTCAGCACGAACTATGGGCTTTCCCACAACTATTTTTAGAAACAAAACAAATATGTGGTATATAAGTTACGGACTTTTACAGACAAACACGTATATTATCCAGATGGGAGCCTCAATGAATTTTTAAATTTATTTCAAATACTCTTGATCTATTTCCTTCTATTAAAAGGAACATTTACTTAGAGTAATACATGGAATTTCACTCTAGCACCTAGTTCTTTTAGGTCACAAAATATATTCGACGTAAAACTATTCAAGTTTGAACTTTCCAAAAAGCTGCACGGACTGCTTAGCTGTATCCGAATTTTAAGTACTAGTAGGAATGCATGTGGTTGCCGATTTAGTACAGGAAGTGTGGTACTTTCTATATATTGATTGATACGAATAAATTAATTTTTAAAGTGTACGTTATACACCCATGGTTTTAAAATATTGGCCACGATACTTGTTGAAAATAAAAATTAAATATATACAAATGTACACGACTTCGAAGGGGTGCCTAGAATAGCATGAATTATATATACAGGTAATGCATTTTCGTAAACTTTGTAGAGGAACATAGATTTGCAAAACTAATAGTGCATATTGCAGATTAACAAAGCAATTAGGTAGATTCATGGTATTATACCACCATCTTGGATTGTACTTTTGCAGCGAACAATCAGTCTAGTTGTTACCCAAATCTCCGAATTTGTAGACAGATGTTCAATGTTATTGATAAGACTGTTTATCTCTATGAAGAAAACTTCCTGATTTATCGCATTATTAAAAATATTTTAACAAGTACCAAACATATGTGTTTTAGAATAAATTTGTTCAACTAAGCCGGTTAAGGCGAGATAACTCTTTTAGTAAACCTATTGATAATTCATGATCGGTTTATCAGTGGATGTATTACTGCTAAAATATTGCGTTTTTATGATGATATTAAATATATATATAACATGGATAATACAACAAGAGAAGTGATATCGTCCAAAACAAATTTTGCTGAGGGGATATCATGGAAGGATAACAGCCCCATTATAACAAAGCTATTACAAAAGGAAAAATATTATTGTCCAAGTTTCAAACGTATTAACAAAGAGTAATGCCTTCTTAGCTAGTTCACTAAAATGGACTTTTAGGTTGTGGAAAGGGGGGGGGGGGGGGGGGGATTCTGATGAGTGTGTATAGACACACTCAAGTGGCAAGATTAAGGGGTTATGATCGTTTCCCGTAATTGTACGTCGGATCATATTAGGTTTTTACTTTCCTGCGGTACCGCAGGAAGTTCTGTTGAGACCATCTCATGTCTACCCTGAGTGGCCGGTTCTGAATTGGTACCAGTTCGAGCTTGACTGTTTTATGATACATAGTATGGACTATGTATTCAGCGTGCATATAGAGTTTTATGATATAGAAACTGTTAATCTTTACTCCCCTGAAACCAGGGGGTGATGCGAATAAGACCCGACGTATTTGGGGATCATAACCCTCGTTCTCTTTAGGATAAACCTTGAGGAACTTGAGCATCCATTGCTACCAATGGTGCACAGATTTGTCAGTTAAATCAACCATGTCGGCATTCTGTTATCATGTCAGACCTCGTCATTCAAAGTGAACTGTGGCCGTTATTTCCACATTAATTATTTGTTTGTTATGTTTTTGCCTGAAACTTGATTCTTTGATTAATACGGTTTATCTCATTTATAAGATAAACCAATTTAATGAAAGAGAAATGATTACTGCGTCATTCGGATCCGGTTCTCGTTTCCTGATAATCAACGTCACATGACTCTTCAGCATTACATTGAACTAGCCACTCTTGTAGATATGTAAAAGTTTCAAAAACCCACCCACCTCTCCCTGCAATCTTCCATCTAATAACAATTCTTTTGTCTGCTGCTGTTTTATTTATCTTTTCAGAATGACCAGAATAGGCCGGATCTATAACATTTTGGACAAAAAAGAGGAGACAAACAAGCCGATGGATTTGCTTGCTGAATCATACGTTCGAGAACTATATATGTTAATGCTAATTTTCATGAATGGCTACCACTTTTATCCACATATTCAGACACCAGCAGTGTGAAAATAGAATTATCAATACCTGCTATTAGTTCTTCGCCTGGAATGCATTTAACTTTTGACTTTATTTGGATAAAGATCAGCATTTATCTTGATTACTTGATTCTAATTGTCCATTATTTTGTAATAAAATCATTCGTCACAGTCAAAAAGGATGTCGGGATCTGGCAAGATTAAGGGTTTATGATCGTTTCCCGTAATTGTACGTCGGATCATATTAGGTTTTTACTTTCCTGCGGTACCGCAGGAAGTTCTGTTGAGACCATCTCATGTCTACCCTGAGTGGCCGGTTCTGAATTGGTACCAGTTCGAGCTTGACTGTTTTATGATACATAGTATGGACTATGTATTCAGCGTGCATATAGAGTTTTATGATATAGAAACTGTTAATCTTTACTCCCCTGAAACCAGGGGGTGATGCGAATAAGACCCGACGTATTTGGGGATCATAACCCTCGTTCTCTTTAGGATAAACCTTGAGGAACTTGAGCATCCATTGCTACCAATGGTGCACAGATTTGTCAGTTAAATCAACCATGTCGGCATTCTGTTATCATGTCAGACCTCGTCATTCAAAGTGAACTGTGGCCGTTATTTCCACATTAATTATTTGTTTGTTATGTTTTTGCCTGAAACTTGATTCTTTGATTAAAGGTATTTTGTATAGAAAACAATAACTGTGCTTTGAATTTATGCAAAAAACAGATTCCATTACTCAGTTATATAAAACTTTTAGTGAATTCATATATCACTGGTTAGTTCATACATACAATTTTGGCAAATATGGCTTTGTTAAACACTTCTAGTGATATATTAGCCAAATTATGTTAGGTAAATGGTAACAGATAATATCATTGTGACAAGATTTCTAAACTGACCATTTGAGGCAGAAATTGTGAACTTTTTTAGATAAATAGGCACACAGTGAGATGTGGACTGGAGACAGAGGCAGGATTGGATACTTTATATAATCTTGAATGTTGTAATGATTAACTACTAAATCTTTACATTTATAGTATTCTGAAATGTTTTCAATTTGTTATCAGAATAATTTCATACAGGTTCTAGGCATTTCATGTCACAAAATATGCACACAGGGTAAGCTGACATTAATTAAAGTCTTGTTTTCAAATTCTTTAAAAATTGAAACAGGGGTGGGCCCGTTAGGGGTATAAAATGTACTGTAAAAGAAAAGTTAGAGCATATATGCAGTGATTTCTTTTAGGCTATGATTCTGATAAATAAGTATTGTTGTGAGAAAAAGTATTTTTCAAGATTTTTTCTATTCAAATAAATGTTAGTATAGTTTGCACTTTGTAAATACAGCTGTTTCACAAAATACGCCTCTTTTGGGGAGATATATAATATTCATAGATATTTTGTTTTGTTAACGTACTGGTTCCCAGATATGATCTCTATGTTTCATCTCGTAGAGACATAATGTGGGAATGTGACCAGTATAAGTACACATGAATAGCGGCCAAATTGAAATCTGTGGAAGACCCAAAGTGAAGGGAGGGGTAGTACAGAATTTTAGTAGAAGTTCGGGGCATATAAATGTTGAAAATATGCCGCACAGCCCTATATTTTGACCTTTGAAAAAAATAGTGGTGCATATGAGCTTTCCATTCTAGGATATAATTTTTTATGAAACTTCATAATAAAAGTGGTAGTTTTAGCCATAAAAGGAGTTCCTATGGGAAATTGAATTGTCTATATTTACAGAATTGCAACCTATAATGTCAAGGAAATTATTGAACCAATGCATGCATATATTCAAACTAAGTCCTCTGTGTATGTTTTTTTATATTTATTAAGAATCTCTAACATAATTTAATTGACAAAAAATATTTCATTCATTGAGTGTTGATCGAAACTTTTGCTGCTAATTAACTTTCTCAAGCTTTTGTGCTGAAGTTTACTGATTGTGACCTTGATAAACAATCAACACAGAATCATGGAACACATGAAAAATAAGTCAGATGATAGAGGTGTTCATTGGCTTTTTTTTTTCTATTGTCCATGCTGTTACATATGTTCTTAATGTTAGTGGGTAAATTGGTGGTGTGACACCAATAGGAGGCATACAATTACATTGGTATATAGTATGTCTAGAGACAAGGTCCACATAGAAAAAACAGTAAAAATACTTACCTTAATATTTGTAGATATAGAAGTTCTCTGTAAAACTCTGCAAACCGAGAAAGTGTTAAATTTGATAGAATGAAATACCTTCCAAATGTAAATAATATGAACTAGAGGGTCTAAAGATCCTGTGTCTCTCAACTGGATCTATATGAATCTTCAACAATGACCACTCTCCAAAATTGTAGATGGCAATAACTCCTTCAAGGAGTCGACTGACAATTTAGGCTTTGTTAACCTATTTGTAGATCTTGTCTTGCTGATCATTTTGACTGTTTACAGTTTTTCTTTATACACCAAGGTTTTCACCAAAAATGAAAACATGTGTAAATAAACTCATCATAGATACCAGGATTGAAATTTTATATTTACGCCAGACACGTGTTTCGTCTACAAAAGACTCATCAGTGACGCTCGAATAAAAAAATGATCGAATCAAATACAAATCATCATTTAAGGGCAATAAGGCCTATAAAGAGTTGACAGACATATTTGGCCACGCTAACAAAATTGTGCATCTTGTCCTACTGCTCAATTTTAGTTTAAAGTTATTGTCTATCTATTATATTTTTCAAGATAATAGGCAAAAATTCCAACAATTGGCAAAAAATGTCAGTATTAAACTTGTATAAAAAGTCTACCAAAGATTTTGGCAATATTGACTTTTATTTGTAAATCTTGTCTTGTGGATTATTTTTGCTATTTAAAGTTTCTCTCTATCTATTATAGTTTTAAAAAAAAATAAGCCATAATGCAAAAACATAGGTAAAATTTGTCTACTGAGGTCAATTACTCCTATAAAGAGTCAACTGACAATTTCAGCCTTGTTGACTTCTTTCCAAATCTTGTTTTGTTGATCATTTTTGCTGTTTAAAGTTTTATCTATATATTATTGTTTTCAAGATAATAGGCAAAAATGCAAAAAAATTGTAAAAAAATCATTAAAGGACAATAACTGTAATGAAAGCTAGTTCAAAGCCAAAAACTAATAAAAAATTATGCATTCAAGACTAAAATATCAATCAGTACAATGCATGATCTAGTGCATTGCCAAAATACAAGTATTGACAGAATGTAGGACTGTAAATTTTCATAGCTGTATAGCAATGATATTTAATTATGTTTTAATTTATTGATAATAAAATCAAGGCAGTTGCTATTTGTCCGGCTAGCCGGACGAATAGTACCAGGACTATTTGTCCGGCCAATACAATGCGCATATGTCACTATTTGTGTGTGCGTGTGCATGTAATATTATCTTCATCAGCACCAGGGGGTCGCAAATTATATATATGGACATTTAAAAAGCAATGTTTTGCAATCTTTAATTGTTAGGCCCCAATCTTGTTACTGGTAATTGAAATTGTTGTTTTCTTCATATAATTATAGTCCAATGTGGACAACGTATATAATTTGAATTTTTTTTCATACATATTCCATATTTATTTCTTTATCTATGGCTTCACATTGTAAGAAAAGGGAAGAAATTACTTGTAAAACAAACTTGGGTCGTGATTGACTCATGCATTTTAAGTTAACGTAAGGATTTGGTCTAGTTGAAAAAGATACAAAATTGTTATGTCTGAAGCTGTCAAACAGAATTATAGACCCCCTTAACATAAATTTATCCATATTTTGAGTGAGAGGTGGTAGATGTTTCTATAATGTTTTCCCCAAAAAGTAAACAACACTGTAAAAATCTTATTAGGAATCCCAGGTGGGATTTTTCTTTTTATTTGCATTTATTGTTCTAACCGTGAGAAATACACTATGTGAGGGGGTCGGGGTGACGCATGGTATTCCTTTTTCCAAATCCCTCTATTTTCTTTTTCCCCAGATCCCGCCTTTGTTGTCCCCTATATTCCATATCCCCACTTTTTACAACCTATATCCCACATCCACACCTTTTATATCCCACTTTTCCTTGTGATTTCTGTTATTTTTGAGTCCCTTTTATAAAATTAGATCTTTCTTTGAAGTTCTTACTATCGTTTTCGCTTGTCAAATTCTGAAACTGGAAAATTTATCACAATTATTGATATCGCTGTTTTCAGCCATGATCTCAAAATTGTAAATCAGTGATCGGATTACACGCGACCCCCTGGTTCCGCTGAAGATAATATGACACGCACTTCCGCACACACATAAAGTGACATGCGCATTGCCATGGCCAGACAAATAGCCACTCCCTAAAATCAATGTCTGTATCAATAAAAACAATATTCAAAGATCTTATTACAGTGTTAAATTGATAACCTTTTAGAATAAGTTTATTTAAGGATCGATAAGTTTACATGGGTCATATCTTAGTTTACAAGCTCTATAAACAACATCACCTTATAAAATTAGGATGTGATATCCTGTATATAATAAGAATTCTACAAGTGCAGCCAACTTCCAAACCAAACCTTTAAAAGAATTTAGTAGAGGTTTTAAGCATTTTGTCGAAACAAAATCCCTGACTTGTATCCTATTTCCAGATTGTGATATTTTGACTGAGTGTGAATTCTCATAGCGGGTGATACAGGCATAGCTGGAGACACTTAACCTGTCGATGCACATGGTCTCGTTCCTTTTGGAGTTCATACTATTCCCAAAGTTTTTTGTTAGTTATCTGGATTTGACTCTTCCTTATCCAATTATGAAAATTTGAAAATTGGTAAAGTACTGTCAGCTTAATCTCGGACATAATATATTGAGTGTCAGTATTCTATTCCCAGGCTTAAATTAATAATTTACTCATGATACATAGATTACGTTCATTGAAATCTTTAACGTCACTGCAGACACAAAACGATCAAGTTGGGATATATAAACATCATAAGACGGGCCAATAATGATTGAATAAACATTTTTCAATTCATTTTATAAGGCCAATTAAAATTAATTGATAGATTTCCATTTTTGTCTTTTGTCAATGTCATCTGTTATAATAGCAACAGGATAAACACCAGAAAGGATTACTGAGCATATGTGAAAGACAGAAAACTGAAATTATAAAAAATTTTGGAAACACTAGTCACTAGTGTACTGCTTTATATATTGATTTTAATATTGCTTACAAAATTACAAAAAAAAAATATTACCTGCCCATTTGTTCAGCTATGCTCATGAATCTATGTGAGAATATAGATAGCTGGATAGCATCTAAATCTGTTCCAACCTTCTGGACTGTTCCAGTTCCTACCTATATATGCAGTAATAATGATTATAAAAGTCAACTTCTTTACAGAATTAGGACATGTAAGATTTATTTTCTGGTTCTAAGATATTACCACTTTAGGCAAAAATTCCCTAGCTAATATTTATTGCAAAACAAAAAATAAAGGTAGAAAATGTTAAAAAATTCTCTTTGAAACTTGTCTTATTGAGGAATATCCCACAATTCTTTGTAAAGTGTATTCATATCATCTGTCACCAGCTGACAAAATGTCAACAAAACAGGAGTTTGTCTAAAAAAAACTTTAGACTGAATCTAAATGTGGACGCTACCGACAACGACACTGCCACTGATAGAATCTTGGATAGCTATGTAAAAATACCAGTACAATGCAATACATACCGTGATTTTGATATTTCCATGTTTAGTGATCACTGCTTGACAACATGGTTCAACTAGAATAGTGCTTAAAGGAAATAAAATAGCACTGTTAATTAAAATTAAGGGGTACTATTTATGTTATTGGCCTACATATTGAACTTTATTTGGCAAAAATATCAAACACTCTTACTAAATGAATACTAAGTGATGATTCACTAAATACAGGAAAACAATGATGACCAACACCATCACTTTAATTGCTATCTGGATACAAAAAGGGAATCAATCACATTTACTACACCAAAACGTAATTTACTGCATTCAATGCATAAAAACTATATACTTGACAAACTGGGAATACCTTATGCCAAAGATTTGATGGCCACCTAAATAACACAATCAATGTCAACTGTGTGTTGACATTTGTTTTCTGACATACTTCAGAACTACTCCAGGTAGGTAGGATTAGAGCAGTACAGATACCTTCCTAGAACTGTAATGTCACAGTACCCAAATGGCACCTATTTAGCAAAAGAAGCAACAGAAATCTCACAAGTTTTCTTAGAGACTAAACAATTTGCATTTTTATGATTTGACATTACAGGGCTCACTCTAGCAGGCGACTGGGGCGAAAAAGTCGCTTTCCCGTCCGCCACTTGGCTTTGCCCGACCGTCAAAAGTGATATCTAGTCGCCCTGGTGTTCCCAATAGACGTATTTACACTTGTATGCAAATTTGTCCGCCATTACGTAAAATCACACAGGTTCCCGTAAACTTTGACATCATAATTCAAAACATTTGACGTCACAATTAAAAAGTGATTGTTGCCTGACCTCAAAAGGTGATTCTGAGTAGATCTAAGGTCATTCGGAGGCAAAATATAGCTAAATACCAATAGTGTAAATACGTTTATAGTCACTTGCAGTCGCTTTCGTCATCGGCAATTTCCCCTTTTTACCAAGTCAATGAAACAGCATATTTTTCATTTAAAAGTGAAGAAATTCAAAGACATAAACGATTTATTTCTTTAGAAAAGATGTGAAAGTATTTACTTTACAGATTGGTCGTATGTTATTTCAGAGAAACAACTTTTATGAAGTATTTTCTTTCACTTCCGGTACTTGTTACTCGAGATCGTATATCAAAAACATTCTGATTTTCGGCAAAATAAGTTTGTTACTTCATTAGAAAGTGATCAAAATTGCCTTTAGTTAATGCTTGGTCCATTCATTGCATTAAAAGCTTCATATTCCTTTCCGAATCGCTTGTCAAACATTGTTTATTTTTCGTAAATTTTTTTCGTCCGCCATTGAAATATCTGTACAAACCACGGATCGGAGGCGGGATTCATCGGAAGCGGACCAGCTATGACTGAAATCCGTATTCTTACTATAATAACTACAGACGCCTGAATTGAACAGCGGACAAAAGAATAATGACCTCAAAAGTGAAAATTACGCATTGCACACGTCTTAACAGACATTTTGTTAGATCTCCTTGCTAAATATATATATTTCCATGTAAATGCATTGTTTCAATTTATTGATTAAAGTTGCTTAACTTGGTTAAACTTATATATCTTTTTAATGAGAAACAATGAGTTTCATTAAGATGATAAACAGCATAGTTTTTTAATTGCTTTTTAATTGATATATGATACTTTCTTTTCCTTTTTAATATAAAAAAGTTCTTTGTAGTGCTAGATATTTAGTTGGTAGATTCTGACCAGAGGACTAATTGTGCAACTATAAATGACTATTTAAGACATAAACTGAAACAACTGTTACTTAAATTGACTCAGGTATGAATTGAACACCTATACAAAAAAAAGGATACATATGGCCCTTTATATCATAGTAAAAACCAAACATTGTAGTGCAGCGAGCAAACGAGCACTTCTCTTTCAAATCCCACCACTTCTCCCTACCAGTTTCAAAAAAAGAAGTCAATTCTCCCTATGATTTTGAAGAAGTGTGAGCCCTGCATTATGCACGTCTTTCAACATGGCTAAATATATTTTAAAATACACAAAACGTTCACAGTATATTTCAACAGATGAAGTATTCTCTGGAAAATGTAAAATCTATGAAAACGTTGTCATGAGACATCCATAAAAAGTCAACTTTTAAAAATGAGCAAATAAAATATGTTACAGGCATCAATTTCTTAAAACATGAATAATAAGCATGGAACAATGTCAAATTGTTTTAAGTATTTGGAGAAATAACACAAAACATCAATTATCTAATTTTACGGATGTGAATTTAAGCATGGATGCAATTTGGGTACTCCTCATTACAAAATCATGGATTGTTTGGAGGTCGATGCAAACCCATTTTTCTATGATTCAATATGGATTCAAAATTAAATTGGTGGAACTATATAGTAAATAAAATAACAGAGTTCCAATGTACCCCTGCATTGCACATATTTTATCTATCCAAGGTACAACGGCAATAACTAAAAAAAAACACTTCTTTTTTTTGTTCTTTAAAACAATTAATAAATATCTTCGAGAAAGAAGGCTTCAGAGTAAATGCAATGCGATTTCTGTTCTAATAAAATACTTGATCGCCACTGATTTTCGAACTCGTACAAGACATTGCTGATATTTACCTATGATATAAGTTTCATAAAAATCTGGCAAGAATTGTACACATGAGATCGCAAACGATGCAATTTTCCATATAATTAATGTTTCCAAGGGGCATAACTCTTTTTAAAAAATTTGATTGGCACAGATTTTCAAACTCATCCAAGACATTGCTAATATAAACCTATGATATAAGTTTCATAAAAATCTGGCGAGAATTGTACACATGAGAGCGCTAATGTTGCAATTTTCCATATATGTAATGTTTCTAAGGGCATAACTCTTTTAAAAATAATAGATTCACACTGATTTTCTAACTCGTCAAAGACATTGCTAATATAAACCTCTGATATAAGTTTCATAAAAATCTGGCAAGAATTGTGCACACGAGAGTGCTAACGATGCAATTTTCCATATAATTAATGTTTCCAAGGGGCATAACTCTTTTAAAAGTAATTGATCGGCACTGATTTGAGAACTCGTCCAAGACATTGCTGATTTAAACTTATGATATAAGTATCATAAAAATCTGGCAAGAACTGTACACGTGAAAGCGCTAACAAGACTGTATGGACGAACGAAGCCCCGTATTTTCTATGTCCCCCGCATCTTGTTGCGTGGGGGACAATAAGGATACATCTACAAAATAAATACAGAATGGAAACTTTTTTCTGGATCATAAATAAATGTAGGTGGAAAAACTGTCAAAATAGGTAATTTGGGTACCCTTACGTTAGATACCTTCTAGAAGATTATCCAAACCCATAGTGCTACAGATCGGACAATCAACATTTTGCTAAATTACACAGAAAATGGAAGAATGAAGCATAAACAAGACATACAATAATACAATTTTTTTTTATTCTATCCATTAACATTTGATGCATTCAAATATTCATTTTCTGGTCTCTACGATGAACTTTTATGATTAACATTACCATATCTAAAATTGTTTACAATTTACTTCCCTTTTCCTTGTTTTCTTTTCTTTCTTTTGTGTTTGAAAGAAGTATTGGTGTTTTTGAAGAGCAAAGTGTTGTTTTTGTGGCTTTTCTGTAATTTTAAAAATCATTCACAAAACTTCTGCTTTGAAAATATTTAGCATGTCTTTAAGAATGGTTGATATTCCATTATTTAAATGTATACCTTGTATCATTCATGATGATAGCTGGACCTGGAATTACATGACCTGCTCTCAGATCTGATAATATATAAACATGTGTATCCTGAAATCCTCCCTCAAAGTAACATTGTGTTATCTAAAACAAAAATACAAACATTATCAAAGTATTGTCATCAAATAAATTCTATTTCTCTATTTGATTTTAACTGGTCTCATCCATTTCATTTTTTTTTAAATCTACTTCTGTTCATATTTTTTTTGTTCTCTTTATTCAGATCTTCTTTTTATAAAAAAATCATTTATGGCTGACATTCTAAAACTGTCTCCAGCATGAAATGTTATACCAGTACCTCACTTCATGTAGTGGTAAAAATTAATATTTCTGTATTTATCTGTATATAACCTGTTTGGCTTTCTTACCCTAATTATTTTCATTATCATATTTGAAAGGTGGTGTGAGGAATACATCAATTAGACAGCACACAAAACTTTATATCTGTAGTCTACATACAAAATATTGCATTTAGCCTTAGTACTTTTGAATTTTTCAAAACTAAAACAACAATGTGTCAACAAAAATCCCCAATTTGAGTAAAATTTGTATGCCGTTGACTAAAAATTTCAATTCATTATACATTGGAAATGTTGTGGTAATACTTTAATCTGGAAATATGCCAGGTTCAATGAAGTGCCAACGGATAAAAAAAAAAATTGTAAAATGTACAAACACTTGCATTAATATCTGCAGAAATTATGAAAAAAAAAGTCTGGGCATCTGCTTGATTGCAGCAGGACAGAATGGTTGAATGAACGACATGGGTAACACAGTATGCTCCCGCCACTTAGTGGCAGGTTCATAAAAAAACACCAAGAGTAATTTTCATCACATATAACATTTCGAATTCTGCCTGATGAGAATGTATGCAACTTGTGTTTTCACAGATAGTTAATACAAGAGTGCACATGCCGAAATGTCTCCCTTGCTTTACTTATTATAACTGAATTATCATTGAAGTCTGTAATATGAAAGTATTGCTACAAGAATCACATAAACTTTACATTATCAATGATCCAGGTAAATGAGGTCAATATCAGAAGTACCCAGCCAGACAGACATGTATACCTTACAATCACATCATGCATAAATATAGTTAGTTTATTGCTTATAGTATCTGAGAAACAGACCCAATTATGACAATATGAAAATTGAACATTGACCAATGAACCATGAAAATGAGGTCAAGATCAGATGAAACCTGATAGACAGACTTGTACACCTTACAATTATTCCATACACCAAATATAGTTGACCTATTGCTTATGGTATCTGAGACATGGTCTTGACCACAAAAACTTAACCTTGATCACTGATCCAGGGAATGAGTTTGAGGTCAGGTGAACCCTATCTAACGGACATTTAGACCTTACAAGGATCCTATTACTCATAATAAATGAATATTTCACATGTCAAAAATCTGTATAATTTTTTCAAGCAGTCACTGAACCATGAAATTAGGTCAAGAACAATGGACATACCACAGACACAAACTTCATAACATAATGCATCTGCATACAAGGTATTAAGCATCAATGTATTCTACCTTCTTTAAAGCTTTAAACAAATAGTTCACACCACCTCAACTGGATAATAATCCCTATGTCTCGCATTTCGTCTCAGTACAGACAAAAAAAATATATGAATACTGTAAATTCAGAAATTATTGTGAGGTTTTTATTAATGTGAATAATGAGGCTGGGTGAGTGTCACAATAATAAGAACTTGCATGTTGGTATCTGATACATATATCTGTATACAGATTTTCCTGAAATTGCAAAAATTAATCTTGCATTTTGTCCATTCTTATAAAATTACAATGATATATACATGCAATAATTTCTGAATTTACAGTATTAATTTATCTGTCAGCTGTTAAAAAATGGCAATGAAACCAATGGAATGTAATGAAATATATAGTTAAATGAGAAATTTCAATTTACATACCTACTTATAGACAAGTGTAGATGTTATCAATGAACATCAAGAGCACTTTTTAAGTCAATGCCAGGGAATATCATAAACTTGCCACATGTTAATGAGTACTGTATCTCATTAATGAAGACTGTCCACTTAAAGAATAGCAATGCAATATAAAAATAAGAAGATGTGGTATGATTGCCAATGAGACAACTCTCCACAAGAGACCAAATGACACAAAAATTAACAACTATAGGTCACAGTACGGCCTTCAACAATGAGCAAAGCCCACACCGAATAGTCAGCTATAAAAGGCCCCGAAATGAAAAATGTAAAACAATTCAAACGCGATTAACTAATGGCCTAATTTATGTACAAAAAAAGTTCTCATTAGATGTGATCTAATTGATTTTCATGAAATTATTGATTACTATCCATTCCTTTTTCCAACATACACCTTTCTTTTACAGTTTAAAAGTTAAAAGAAAGCAAATATTCAGCAGAGGGACTGTAATCACTACATAAAACCAATACTTAAATCTTACTGTTTCATGGTTTGGAGGACCATCAGCCTTTTCTATCAGCTGTTCGGTTTCATGCACAGCTTTACCAACACCTCTAATTCTAATATCATCTACAATGATTGGTCGGTCTGGTAAAGTAAATCCAAACTCTGTGTTGTACCTTAAAAATAAAGCTCATCATCATGTATATGTGTCACTAAATGAATTTTTCTTTTATCATCCTGTCTGTTGCTTTCATTATTATTCATGGGATATTAATTTCTGTGGGTAAAGGCAAACCACAAATTTAATTTCTAAATAAACTGCTAACACAGAGATATATCTCGCCTATTTGTTATTTTGATAATGCAAATGTTGAAATTAAAATAACAATACTTTAACATGTAAGTTATGCAAATATTCAAAGTCAATGAACCATGACTGAAGGTACAGCAGAGTTCTCGAAATCTTTTTTTGCCTGGTGGTACTTGAAGAAAATATGCAGGTCCTCACTATCATTTCTATTGCAATTTACCAAAATTGTGTTGGTCCTTCCCAAAAATGTGGTGGTCAAATCCCTAGGACCACCACTTATCGAGAACTCTGTACAGGGCTAAACAATCTCCATGGAAATGAGATGTGCCAATGCTAATACAACTGCATACCAAATACTATTGGCTTTTCATAAGGTGTTCCCTTTAAACAAACCTAAATACAAACAACTTGTAAACTATGTAAAAGTTTCAAAGTCAATGAATCATAATGAGAGGGTGGGGTTATATAATCATGAAAATGAAACTTGCAGATGCTGATACATTTGCATACCAAATGTCATTGACTTAACATTAGTGGTTCATCTTAAACTGACCTAATCACAAACTAATGCATGAAAACTAAGCAAAAGTTTCAAAGTCAATAGACCATGACTGAGGGGTAAGGACCAAATATTCTCCATGGAAATTAGATGTGCTAATGTTTATACAACTGCACACCAATTATCATTGACCTACCACTAACCGTTTCCCTTAAACTGACCTAATCACAAACTGTTACATGAAAACTAAGCAAAAGTTTCAAAGTCAATAGTCCATGACTGAGGGGGCGGGGCCAAATAATCTCCATGGAAATGAGATATGCCAATCCTAATACAACTGCATACCAAATATCATTGACCTACCACAAGTAGTTCCTCATAAACTGACCTAATCACAAACTAATACATGTAAACTAAGCATAATTTCAAAGTCAATAGACCATGACTGAGGGGGCAGGGCCAAATAATCTCCATGGTAATGAGATGTGCCAATCCTAGTACAACTGCATACCAAATATCATTGACCTACCACTAGTGGTTCACCATAAACTAGACCTAATCACAAACTAATACATGTAAACTAAGCATAGTTTCAAAGTCAATAGACCATGACTGAGGGAGCAGGGCCAAATAATCTCCATGGTAATGAGATGTGCCAATTCTAATACAACTGCATACCAAATATCATTGACCTACCACTAGTGGTTCACCATAAACTAGACCTAATCACAAACTAATACATGTAAACTAAGCAAAGTTTCAAAGTCAATAGACCATGACTGAGAGGACAGGGCTAAATAATCTCCATGGAAATGAGATGTGCCAATGCTAATACAACTGCATACCAAATGTCATTGACTTAACATTAGATGGTTCATCTTAAACTGACCTAATCACAAACTAATGCATGAAAACTAAGCAAAAGTTTCAAAGTCAATAGACCATGACTGAGGGGTAAGGACCAAATATTCTCCATGGAAATTAGATGTGCTAATGTTTATACAACTGCACACCAATTATCATTGACCTACCACTAACCGTTTCCCTTAAACTGACCTAATCACAAACTGTTACATGAAAACTAAGCAAAAGTTTCAAAGTCAATAGACCATGACTGAGGGGGCGGGGCCAAATAATCTCCATGGAAATGAGATATGCCAATCCTAATACAACTGCATACCAAATATCATTGACCTAACACAAGTAGTTCCTCATAAACTGACCTAATCACAAACTAATACGTGTAAACTAAGCATAATTTCAAAGTCAATAGACCATGACTGAGGGGGCAGGGCCAAATAATCTCCATGGTAATGAGATGTGCCAATCCTAGTACAACTGCATACCAAATATCATTGACCTACCACTAGTGGTTCACCATAAACTAGACCTAATCACAAACTAATACATGTAAACTAAGCATAGTTTCAAAGTCAATAGACCATGACTGAGGGAGCAGGGCCAAATAATCTCCATGGTAATGAGATGTGCCAATTCTAATACAACTGCATACCAAATATCATTGACCTTCCACTAGTGGTTCACCATAAACTAGACCTAATCACAAACTAATACATGTAAACTAAGCAAAGTTTCAAAGTCAATAGACCATGACTGAGAGGACAGGGCTAAATAATCTCCATGGAAATGAGATGTGCCAATGCTAATACAACTGCATACCAAATGTCATTGACTTAACATTAGATGGTTCATCTTAAACTGACCTAATCACAAACTAATGCATGAAAACTAAGCAAAAGTTTCAAAGTCAATAGACCATGACTGAGGGGTAAGGACCAAATATTCTCCATGGAAATTAGATGTGCTAATGTTTAAACAACTGCTCACCAATTATCATTGACCTACCACTAACCGTTCCCCTTAAACTGACCTAATCACAAACTGTTACATGAAAACTAAGCAAAAGTTTCAAAGTCAATAGACCATGACTGAGGGGGCGGGGTCAAATAATCTCCATGGAAATGAGATATGCCAATCCTAATACAACTGCATACTAAATATCATTGACCTACCACAAGTAGTTCCCCATAAACTGACCTAATCACAAACTAATACGTGTAAACTAAGCATAATTTCAAAGTCAATAGACCATGACTGAGGGGGCAGGGTCAAAAAATCTCCATGGTAATGAGATGTGCCAATCCTAATACAACTGCATACCAAATATCATTGACCTACCACTAGTGGTTCACCATAAACTAGACCTAATCACAAACTAATACATGTAAACTAAGCAAAGTTTCAAAGTCAATAGACCATGACTCAGGGGACAGGGCTAAATAATCTCCATGGAAATGAGATGTGCCAATGCTAATACAACTGCATACCAAATGTCATTGACTTAACATAAGTGGTTCATCTTAAACTGACCTAATCACAAACTAATGCATGAAAACTAAGCAAAAGTTTCAAAGTCAATAGACCATGACTGAGGGGTAAGGACCAAATATTCTCCATGGAAATTAGATGTGCTAATGTTTATACAACTGAACACCAATTATCATTGACCTACCACTAACCGTTCCCCTTAAACTGACCTAATCACAAACTGTTACATGAAAACTAAGCAAAAGATTCAAAGTCAATAGACCATGACTGAGGGGGCGGGGCCAAATAATCTTCATGGAAATGAGATATGCCAATGCTTATACAACTGCATATCAAATATCATTGACCTACCACTAGTAGTTCCCCATAAACTGACCTAATCACAAACTAATACTTGTAAACTAAGCATAGTTCAAAGTCAATAGACCATGACTGAGGGAGCAGGGCCAAATAATCTCCATGGTAATGAGATGTGCCAATCCTAATACAACTGCATACCAAATATCATTGACCTTCCACTAGTGGTTCACCATAAACTAGACCTAATCACAAACTAATACATGTAAACTAAGCAAAGTTTCAAAGTCAATAGACCATGACTCAGGGGACAGGGCTAAATAATCTCCATGGAAATGAGATGTGCCAATGCTAATACAACTGCATACCAAATATCATTGACCTACCACTAGTGGTTCACCATAAACTAGACCTAATCACAAACTAATACATGTAAACTAAGCATAGTTTCAAATTTAATAGACCATGACTGAGGGAGCAAGGCCAAATAATCTCCATGGTAATGATATGTGCCAATCCTAATACAACTGCATACCAAATATCATTGACCTACCACTAGTGGTTCACCATAAACTAGACCTAATCACAAACTAATACATGTAAACTAAGCAAAGTTTCAAAGTCAATAGACCATGACTCAGGGGACAGGGCTAAATAATCTCCATGGAAATGAGATGTGCCAATGCTAATACAACTGCATACCAAATGTCATTGACTTAACATTAGTGGTTCATCTTAAACTGACCTAATCACAAACTAATGCATGAATACTAAGCAAAAGTTTCAAAGTCAATAGACCATGACTGAGGGGTAAGGACCAAATATTCTCCATGGAAATGAGATATGCCAATGTTTATACAACTGCACACCAATTATCATTGACCTACCACTAACCGTTCCCCTTAAACTGACCTAATCACAAACTGTTACATGAAAACTAAGCAAAAGATTCAAAGTCAATAGACCATGACTGAGGGGGCGGGGCCAAATAATCTTCATGGAAATGAGATATGCCAATGCTTATACAACTGCATATCAAATATCATTGACCTACCACTAGTAGTTCCCCATAAACTGACCTAATCACAAACTAATACTTGTAAACTAAGCATAGTTCAAAGTCAATAGACCATGACTGAGGGAGCAGGGCCAAATAATCTCCATGGTAATGAGATGTGCCAATCCTAATACAACTGCATACCAAATATCATTGACCTTCCACTAGTGGTTCACCATAAACTAGACCTAATCACAAACTAATACATGTAAACTAAGCAAAGTTTCAAAGTCAATAGACCATGACTCAGGGGACAGGACTAAATAATCTCCATGGAAATGAGATGTGCCAATGCTAATACAACTGCATATCAAATATCATTGACCTACCACTAGTGTTTCACCACAAACTAGACCTCATCACAAACTAATACATGTAAACTAAGCAAAGTTTCAAAGTCAATAGACCATGACTGAGGGGACAGGGCTAAATAATCTCCATGGAAATGGGATGTGCCAATGCTAATACAACTGCATACCAAATATCATTGACCTACCACTAGTAGTTCCCCATAAACTGACCTAATCACAAACTAATACATGTAAATTAAGCAAAAGTTTCAAAGTCAATAGACCATGACTGAGGGGTAAGGACCAAATATTCTCCATGGAAATTAGATGTGCTAATGCTTATACAACTGCACACCAATTATCATTGACCTACCACTAACCGTTTCCCTTAAACTGACCTAATCACAAACTGTTACATGAAAACTAAGCAAAAGATTCAAAGTCAATAGACCATGACTGAGGGGGCAGGGCCAAATAATCTCCATGGAAATGAGATATGCCAATGCTTATACAACTGCATACCAAATATCATTGACCTACCACTAGTAGTTCCCCATAAACTGACCTAATCACAAACTAATACTTGTAAACTAAGCTAAGTTTCAAAGTCAAAAGACCATGACTGAGGGGACAGGGCTAAATAATCTCCATGGAAATGAGATGTGCCAATGCTAATACAACTGCATACCAAATGTCATTGACCTACCACTAGTGGTTCACCATAAACTAGACCTAATCACAAACTAATACATTGTTGACGCCGCCGCCGCCACCGAGGCCGGAAACATCATACCTATATCTCGCTTTTTGACTCCGTCAAGGTGAGACAACAAAATGTAAGTTTTCCTTTCATGCACTAAAAAAGATTACAAATCTACTTAATTAAGTATCCAGGAAACAACAGCATTTTGTTAAATCACTAAAGTTGGAACCAAGGAAATTCACAGTATTCTAAAAGAAATTTACCAAATCAAAAAAACACAACAGTTTAAAATGATCCTCAATACTTTTTAACCTTCAGATAAACACCTTATTTATAACAAAGTTTCCTTTCCTTTAGATGCTCACTCTTCTCAATAAATACAGATTCAAACTAAGTATAGATAATCCAAGATATAAAGTATGATATGAAGTTTACCATACAGAAAGGATATTGCTTCAAATAAAATATTTTTTGGCAAAATGTTCATTAATTTATAATCCTTTAAGTCCCAAAAATGTATAGGCTTGATGCTATAAAATTTTTGTGAAAAAATACAATTATAGGTAGTAAAAAGCCATGAAAATTTTCTTGTAAATCTAATGTTGATTTTTTCTTGACAATTCTATATAACATTTTTGAAGTAAGCCAGTACATTGCAAAAGTAAAAATTTGGGTACAAGTGCCCATTTTTTAGCTAGAAATAGAAAACGTAGTTTTTTAAATGCTGGTCCTATTTCCATATGTTTTGGTACTTAACAAGTTGCAGTGTATTCTTAATGCAACATCATCATGCAGCTATTCCTGTAGTACTTCAAAAAAGCTATTTGAATTACTGTCATGTACAAATATTGATGATAGAAAAGTAAACAGTCTTCATTTGCATCAAATTTTATGCCCCCACAGTTGATTTTGTTTGCTTGAATATATATCATGTTCTTTTTATCTATGCAAATACTTTAAAATTCAGGTAAATTAAACATTATAGGTTGCAATTCTGTAAATATAGACAATGCAATTTCCCATAGGAACTCCCTTTGTGGCTAAAACTGTGCCACTTTTACTAGGAAGTTTTGTGAAAAATTATATCCCCGAAAGGAAAGTTGATATGCACTACTATTTTATTCAAAGGTCAAAATATAGGGCTGTGCAGCATATTTTCAACATTTATATGCCCTGAACTTCTAAGAGTTTAAACTTATACTAAAATTCTATACTACCCCTACCTCCACTTTTGGACCTCCTAAGAATTAAATTTTAGGCGCTTCCATTTTTTTCTTTACTGGTAACATTCTCAAGTTATGTCTCTATGAGATGAAACACAGAGATCATATCTGGGAACCAGTACGTTAACAAATTAACATATCTATGAATATCATATATCTCCCCAAAAGAGGCGTGGCTTGTGAAACAGCTGTACAAAATGTATTTACAAAGTGCAACCTATACTAGAAAGATTGTTGGAATACTAAACTTCATTTCTTCAAATTCAAAACACACATTTACTGGGTTGGGCACTCATTGATGAAATATATGTCAGATTGATTTAGTTTTGATATGGGATGCCAATTCTTTTTTTTTTTGGAAATATACATATGCAAAATTGTATGATTCCCATATCTCTTACAACTTCTAAGATATAGAAATTGAATATACAGCTTCTGTCCTCACAGAGCTTGTATTGACAGAATCCAGCTTTAAAACTTTATTCTGCATGTACTTATACACATTTGTATTTCAATTATGTTATCTTTCTGGTTGAAATATTGCAATATGATAATAGACATTTTATCCTTCATTTTCATTTTCATCACAAACATTTCTTCAATTCAACAAATATAGATGTTTTTACCATAAAGTATCTCCATACATTACCTATTTTGAAAAGCTGCTAGAAAATCTCCATGAGAAAATGCACTAGCAGGAGAAGGCTTTGATGTTACCATGAGTGCACAGTCAGTCCTATCATACCTCATGTGCAGGAAAACTGTATGAGCAATCTGATTGCTATAAAACAAAAATACAAATAGCCTTGTTTTCTATTGATTACATAGAAACAACTCATTTTTAAAGGTTGAAAAGGTTAACTGAACTGATGTATCTGATAGTAAGGTTAGCACAAAGGTTAATTTTTGGAAGCATCTAGTTTTTGCTGATTTATTTCTGAACATATTTGTAGAGTTTTTTTTTCTAATAATCATCATTGATCATGTCAATAGTCTCAGAGCTTAAATGTAAGTAGATTTCCCTTTCTTGTGATTAAATGTAGATAGATATCATAATAGATATACCGGTATATAGTTTTTACTTAATTTTTTTCTGTTTGTGTGCTAAAAGTAAATAATTTCAAAGCTTTATTTCAAAAGTAAATGGCCACCTGTCTTATTATGCAATAAATATGAGTTTCTAAATTTCATTATTGCATATAGATTGCTTTAAAATAAATCATTCTTTAGTGAATAAAACAAAAAATAAGGTATAGAAATTGATAGTTTTTTGTTTTTGTCAATCAAATAAAAAACAATAAAAAATAAAAATGGAAGTGTAAATCATCTTGCACAGCCAAATTAAATTTTCTTTTATTCACAGAAAAATAATAATTCAGGTTAATTTCTAAAACATACCTTTCAAAACAATTTGAATTTGCATTATTTTAACATTTGCATTAACAGACATTTTTCCCTTAGTTTATTTATTTATTTTGTATTTACATTGTATCATAGGTCATATTTATTTGTTCAGTGTATGTTCACTGGTGTTAATATGTCTTTTGATTGAGTTAAGCTATTTCAGTTGATATTTTATAGTGTGTCTTTCTATGTTGTGATGTTACACTATTGTTTCAGAAAAAGGGTGAAGGTTTTGTACCATTAAAACGTTTAAACCAGCTGCAATTGTTTGCACCTGTCCTAAGTCAGGAATCTGATGTTCAGTAGTTGTCGTTTGTTGATGTGGTTCATAAGTGTTTCTCGTTTCTCGTTTTTTATATAGATTAGACCGTTGGTTTTCCCGTTTGAATGGTTTTACACTAGTAATTTTTGGGACCCTTTATAGCTTACTGTTCGGTGTGAGCCAAGGCTCCGTGTTGAAGACCGTACTTTGACCTATAATGGTTTACTTTTATAAATTTTGACTTGGATTGAGAGTTGTCTCATTGGCACTCATACCACATCTTCTTATATCTATTGAAATGAACTTTGGTGGATAGTTGTCTCATTGGCAATCATACCACATCTCCTTATTTTTATATTGTTTTCAACTGCTATACAAAAGTAGGTTGCTTAATTCAATTTTTCAAGCATTTAACAAAATTTTAAAAAAAAAACTCTGACAACTGATATCTATGAGGCATTCAACCAATAAATACACACAAAAATATTATCTTTTCTTGTTCATGATCTTTAAGACAACAAAGGTACTTCTTCATATTAAGAAAAGACAGATTGACACAGGTTCCAAATTAACATCAAAATTTAATAAAATTGGGGATTCAATGTTACCTTGCAAATCCTTGTGTTAACAGTTCTTGATTGCACTTTGAGATGAGTACTGAAATTCTTTCTTCTAAATATTTGAATGATTCTGTGAAAAAATAAAGCTTGCACTTAGATAGCGATTATTACAAAACATTATCAATGTTAAACAACATTCCTAATCTTTTTTTTAAAACTAGATGTCAGATCCAGTATGACATAAAAGCTGCACAATTCTATCTTTTTGTTTAATCTTTTAGTAAAACAAAAATGTCCCTGTTCATATTAAACAAAAATGAGGCTATAAGATACCAAGGGGACATTCCAAATTCATAAGTCAAAATAAACTGACAACACCATTGCAAAACATGAAATTGACGAAAAGACAAATAGGTTCATTAAACATTACATAGAAAACTAAAGACTGAATGACACAAACCCAAATAAAACTGGGGGTGATCTAAGGTGCTCTTGAAGAGTAAGCAGATCCTCCTCCACTAGTGACACCCATGTTAATAGTCCGAGATTGCTCTGTCATCGGACAGCCATTTTTAGGACTAGTTTGGGCTGTGGGACATAAGAGTGAAGTCCATATAGAAAACATAGTAATTGCCGACCCAGATTTGTTATAGAATTTTAGGAGTTAATCTATGAATATGATCCTAGTGACCCACATATTTAAAAAGAAATATAAGGAATAGAGGACAGGATTTGGGTTACTTCAATTGGAACATACATACTAGTGGTCATTTGTGACAAAGAATATTTTAAGTCCAAAATCTTTAATTTTAAAACAATTTAGTCAATATAAATAAAATACAAAATTAATCTGTAACAACCCCTACACATCAAACTGATAACAGTTCAATATCTGCATGCAAGACAATAAAATATGTTAACATATACACTTGCTATGAATTTTTTTACATTTCCAAGGACGAGTCTTACTTCAAATACTAGTCAATGACAAAAACAATCAAAATGAGGAAATTTTGAATGGAAAAATATATTTTCCTAGTGAAACATATCCAATTAAAAATCACATCTGGTAAAAAGATTAGTTCAGTATGTAAAGTAGTAAAATTTTCGTATGTTTTTCTTCCATTCTCCAAAATTTTATTTCATGACAACATTACCCTGCCATTTTTAAAATAAAAATGACAGTTTTTCTTTAATAGAACCATACCATTCTTATAAACTTTAGCACAAGGCTCTTGTTCTTCATGCACTACATCAGCTAATGCCATTCCATACGCTGACAGAATTCCTGCAAACCTACAATAGCAATAAAATTGAGAATGGAAATGGGGAATGTGTCAAAGAGACAACAACCCGACCATAGAACAGACAACAGCAGAAGGTCACCAACAGGTCTTCAATGCCGCGAGAAATTCCCGCACCCGGAGGCGTCCTTCAGCTGGCCCCTAAACAAATATATATACTAGTTCAGTGATAATGAACGCCATACTAAACTCCAAATTGTACACAAGAAACTAAAATTAAAAATAATACAAGACTAACAAAGGCTAGAGGCTCCTGACTTGGGACAGGCGCAAAAAATACACTTTTTGATTCTTACACTTACAGAAAAAAAAGTCTCCTAAGAGATTTCATTCTGTCCAAAATGGTAAAATTCTTCAATCCTTTCAAAATTACATTAATTTTATTTGATAAATGAAAGGGAAATGAAAATAACACACATTAATTTTCATTTGTGTAAAAAGTAAAATCACAAAAATACTGAACTCCAAGGAAATTCAAAACGGAAAGTCCCTAATCAAATGACTCCAAAACATTTTTTGGATTTACTTTCATCATGAAGGCTCAAAGCTAAACATTTGAAGGCCAGGGTTGCATAAATATGTAGAAACTTTAGGAGCTATATGACCATAAGTACCTTGAAAAGAATAGCCAAATTCCAATAGACGTACGTAGATCGGGTGTCTTATTCTGAGCATCCTTCTGGGCATGTTGCAAAAATACTTTTTTGGTTTAAAACTATTTTAACAAGTATCATTTAATAAAAAAAAAAAAAACATCAAAAACTTGAAATTTAATGATTAAACCATCAAAAAATTAAGTGTATTTCAAATTTTCAGAAAAATTTTAAGATCAAGGGCAGATAATTATACTAAATTTGTGTTTTTTTTTTTTATTTTTCAGAAAATGAGGCCTGTGACCCTCTATTCTTGTTTGATATTTCTAAAGAATGGATGAAAAGCAATTCTCTCATTGAATTTTAACTAATTCTATCGTTTAATGTTTCAATAAGGAAAAATTATGTTTCCCCTATATAACCAATTTAAAATTACTGTGATTTCCTTAATTTCAATGTATTTTAACGAAAAAACAAGGTCTGTGACCCCAGTTTTTATATTGATATTTGAAAGAACATTGACCCAGAAGTTTTCTACAGAAATTTTAGAAAAATCTATCATAGAACATTTAGACACCCTTGAGGTCAACTTTGCATGAGGGAGTTGGAACCTTAGTTTCTAAATAATTTCAAAATCTATCAACAGAATTCTAATTATGTTACTATTTCTAGTGTAGAAATGTAAGTTGTTACTATGACATCCTTAACATGCCGAAATTGACATATTTAACCTATGCATTGTTTATGGTAAAATTAAATGTGACCAACAGCTATAAACAATATATAAATAACACATAGCTGAGAGGGTGATAGAGCAGATTGTTACCTCGAGAAAACATTGTCAACTGAGGCGAAGCCAAGGTTGACAATGTCTTTTCGAGGGGTAACAATCTGCTCTATCACCCTCTCAGATATGTGTTATTTAATTTATTATACTGAATGTTCTGTTATTACTGTCGATTAAATTTCAAATTCAAAGTAATAAACTATGACGTCTTGTACATAACAACCATCCGTATTTAATAAAGCGCACACTTGATCAAGCGTCTCCGTGAAGGGTAATAGAGTATTTGCCATAGGATAGATTCGTATTTAATAAAGCGCACACTTGATCAAGTGTCTCTGTGAAGGGTAATAGAGTATTTGCCACAGGATAGAGTCATATTTAATAAAGCGCACACTTGATCAAGCGTCTCCATGAAGGGTAATAGAGTAAATTAACACCCTCGTATTAGCCAATCAAAATATGGCATTTTAACGTGAAGTATAATAAAACAAAAATATCACCCACATAGACACATTTTTGTATAAGACATCTTGTAGCAAAATATCTATTTGGGAAAGGCTATTGTTCTGATCTAATTATTAATTGCATGAACTGAAAATTTGGCTATTAAAACATTTAATAATAAACATATACTTATACCTTACAGACAAATGTTTTGTGAATATCTGAAGAATGTTATTGGTAAATACAAATTACTTCTTGATTTTCATCTAGTCATAGATTCTCCTATATTATTCTATGGTTTCTGGTGTTCCTATAGGCTACAGACAAGGAAGGAAGAGGTGCGATAAAGGCATTATTTGGCTTAAAAACATTCAATTATTACAAATTGAAGTGATTTTGTGTTAAGATAATTGATATGTATACATGTGCAGAATTAAATAATATGAAACTTTTAGTCCACTTATTTTTCAGAATGTTATATAACAGACACTAGTAGTTCCCCATAAACTGACCTTATCACAAACTAATACATTTTGAACAATTGTATGCCAGTTTTGTTGATGCAAACTTGTTTTCAAAATGAAGTAGTGCAAATAGATTGTGGTGTAAATTAATGCCTTTTTAGTGCAAATAGATATCAACCATAATAGACTGTTTGGATAGATATTTATCAGCCTTAATGATAAATCTTAGAAAAATTAATTACCTGTGAACAAAGACCTGTGTCATCCCTAAAGACCTGGCTATAGCACATGCATGTTGTCCACCAGCTCCACCGAAACATGCTAAAACATGGCGCGCTGTGTCATGTCCTTTGGCCTGTAACATATTTGCATCAAAAATATGAAATTACCTAGTTATTTTGCAAGAAAATTACTTGAACAAGAATACGTCCATAGGAAACGATACCTCACTGGCTCTTTCACATTTCAGTGAACTACAAAATCTGGGTCAAACCCTAATTTAGCACCTTTTTAATAAAGTTTAGATAATAATCAACATGTGTTCTAAGTTTCAAGTTAATGTTATTACAACTTTACAGTAATCAACCATAAACCAAAACTTTAGCCTGAAGCAGGATGGATTTACTAACACAGATAAGAAAACATAAAGCTTCCTACTTTAGTAGGCAGGGCATAAAAACAGGAAACTTCATCAGCTGCTAATGAAACAGGATATGATTACCGGTCCATATCCTTAGCACCAGTTATCACTCTTTGTTTCTGTCAGTGATTCAGGGATATGTTTTAGGTGAAACAAGATATGATTACACATCCTTAGCACCAGTTATCACTCTTTGTTTCTGTCAGTGATTCAAGGATAGGTTTCAATATTTTCCTGTTTACAGCAGTGGCTGAAGATTATATTTTTTTTATAATTTGGCCAAAATACTACAAATTTAACATAGAAATAGTTGTAATACAACTAATAATACAAAAAAGTTTCTATTTGGCACATCAGATTACAAATTACAAAGTTATGACTCCTTAATTATGCATTTTTGTGTTGTAATGTCTGTTGGATTCTATGGATACAGTTTCACGCATTTTGGTTAAAGAATGTTTTGGATTGTAGGTTGCAGCCAAGATTTTCATGAAGCTTTTAAGTACCAAAAGTGCAAAAAATCATCATTTTTTACAACAAGTCCAAAAATCATTAACTTCAGAGCCTTAAAGGTTCTTTTATTAAGATATTTGTTTTACTTCGCATTAAGGCTTCGGATAAATTCATTTAATAACTTAATTGTGGCCTTTTTGATATTCTGTCAAATTTACTTGAAATTCAAAGCCATACTGTGGCAAAATCGAACCTGGGCCTTTAATTTTCTTGTTTTTTCAATACTTTGAACTCTTCATTAGCTATTTTTAATACAGAAACAACCTGCTCAAACAGATTTTCCAGATTAAACACCAAGAATTAATGAAAGTAATAGAAACTACAATTATGACTGAACTCACAAAAAAATATCTCCCAAGAGTCTATTACAGACAGATATGGTGATTCCTATATACCCCCAAAACTTTGTTTGTGGGTAGTATAATAATAGCATACCTGTGTTAGTGCTCTTATAGGTCTACACATAGTTTCATTGGCTACTCTGACAAAACCCATGGCAACTTCTTGATTAGACATTGATTCTTGATGAACTGTTCCAGGCTGGCTTGCTAAGAATGTGTTAACCTATAATGTTTAAGAAGCAAATTACATAATTAACTACAAATTACAATATTTACATGCAATCAAATTAAAAAAAAGGTCATAACAAATCAAAGTTAATTTCATATATATTCCCTTGAAATAAGACATTTTTTGATACCTGTAATTGTTTCTAAGACCAGTATAAAGTGTGTTATACTGTCCAATATTTAGATAACTCCTGTTATCCTTTTTTGGAAATATATGAAACAATTTTACTCTGATCTTCAAATTAATTATTATTCATATTCCTACTATAACTTTCACAATGTCTGATCAAACATTGTGATTTGTTCAATGTCCCAGTTACAACATAAAGAATGTTCTAAAAAAAGAACAGAAATTACCAAAATAGTGGACAGTCCAACACACTTTGCACCATAGAACAATTACAGGTACATTATTTTTCAAGAGAATGTAATGGTCTTACCCTAATTTGAAATGAATAAAGAAGAATTTCTGCTCATTTCAACACAACAAGCTACAGTAGTTATCTCACATCTTAACTTTTCTTTTACTAAATATCTTGGAATGATTATGCTTCAGATGCAAAATAAAATGGTACTTTTTGGATTCGTTGTTTAGCAATAAAAAAAAATAACACATTCAATAACAGATGAAATGTTTCCTTCTGTAAATTTGTAAACTTCAAATGAAAATATGTAAATTCTTCTTAAGTTTACAGGTATTTAAAAAGAAAAATAGTGAATAAAGATACAATGTCATAGAACATACCTCTTTTGTCAATTTATCAAAGGCAGCCATTGTGGTCTTAGTGTCTAGTGGCTGGTCCTGTGTTTTACCAAATATTTTAGGGAAGTGATCTGGCAAAAGTCTGTTCAGACACAAGTTAGCATCAGTGATAGTCAGAGGACCACCTGGAAACAATTTTATTTCACATTAAACTTCACATAAATAACATAAATAAAAAATCTCTATCTATCTTGATGAAAACTACTATCTCTCTCCATGGTCAGGGACAACAAACTATAAAGGAGTAGGTCCAGTAAGACCCCTTTTCGGCCCCAAAATATAGCAGTTTTACAAAATTGTTAAAATGTAAACTTTTAGCTATTTATTGGAAAGAAGAATACTTCTTTTACATAAATATTGGCTTTTTTTGACAATACAATGCACATATATCGGGTACTAGTATAATTAAGTCATGCTAAATTACTGAAATCTTCAAAATTTTAGCATTTGAGTTAAATTTTAGACGGTTTCCGTCTTAAATGGAAGTGGCCGCATTTGTGTTCATTCTTAATATTTAAATGTAAGTTGTATTTGATGATAATACATAACAAATATAAAGGTTGAGAGTGAACACGGATGCAGCCACTTTCATTTTTGACAAAAACCATCTGAAAAGTGACATATTATGGCATATTTGATAAAATTTTCATATTTTAGCTAAATTTTGAGCGTCTTAAATGACTAGATCAGTTCAAATATTTCACATAAACTAATTGAAACGACTGATGTAGACACTTAAGTGTTTAAAAAGTGTGCCAAATCTTTAATCAGATGAACCTGAAATTTGAAGCCAAAATCAGCCCTTACTCCTTTGACGACGCATATGAATTACATCTTGAAGCCTAAATGCAACTGAACATTATAACTCTTTTTTGATTGTTTATTTCCATACCAGCTACACTGCTGGTTTATTGTTAGTGGTGGAAGGGGAGATAGATTAGAAAAGGCATTATCATATCACCAACACATTATGGTGTTTCTGCATATAAATAGGTCACTAGAAGAGTAGACTAAAATTATCCATGCATGTATATGAGGTGATCAAGGTCAGTTGAACTCTGCCACACAGACATGTACACCTTACATTCATTCCACATACCAAACATAGGTAATCTTGCTTGTAGTATCTGAGAAGCAGACCTAACCATGAAAACTTAATGTGCATTAATAATTCATGAAAAGGTGGTGAAAGAAAGATGAACCTTGACAAATGGACATGTACTGCATACAGTCATTCCATACAACAAAATAGTTAATCTATTACTTATAGAATCAGACTCTCTTAATGTTGACCAATTCAATGAGGTAAATCCTGTCCGACAGATATGTAGACCTTGCAAGGATCCCATCTACTAATTATACTTATCATATTACTCATAAAAGGTGAGAAATTTACATGACATAAAGTTTGTAGCAGTCCCAGAACCATTAAAATGAGGTTAAGGACAATGGATATATGACAGCAAAAACTTTGTAACATAAATCATCTGAATACAAGGTATGAAGCACCCAGGTCTTCTACCTTCAGATATATAAAGGTAAATACAAATAGTTTATGTTGTCTTTGCCTCTGCTAGGGAATTATCATCCCTGTGTCTCACATTCTGATATTAAGTGTTATATTATACAAGTAATAGAAATGAACTTTAAATATGAGATTTAAATTTAGATTTTTTCAATTTAAGTATCAAAAGCTTCCAAATGTCAGTAAAAGTATGCTATATCCCTTGTTCTAGATTCCATTAAAATTACAGTATCTGCTGAAAAGATTATTTTAATCACTCTTACATAAATAAACATTCTCAATTCCACTGCTAGCATAGAGGTCCTTCATTTATCATGTCATACAATGCAAAGTTTTACGTAACATGTTGGACCAGGGTCAGCCCCTGCAGAAGCCATAAAAGCTTAGACCTTACCTTTCATGTAACATGTTGGACCAGGGTCAGCCCCAGCAGATTCTGGACCAACAACAAACATCCCAGCCCTGAATATCAACATGGACCCCCCTCCAGCAGCAACAGTGTTAATATCCAACTAAAATGAGATAGAATAAGTCATATACAACTCTTATTAGTTCAGAATGTATATGTCATGAAAATAAGCAATGGCAACTAATTATAACAACATCATTGGTAAAATAATATTTCTTACTTTCACCAAAATCTTGCAGGATATGAAGCAAAATTCTTTCAAGTCATGACCGTCTTCTTCAGTGGAACTTTTTTTTTGGTAAAGTAACAATCAATAGTCCGGGAAAGCGAGCATTATTTATTTGTATTAATCCAATACTGCTTGTATGTCTGTAATTTGCTTAACTTTATCTAAACTTTCTCAATTATATCATGGTATGTATCGCCTCCACAAATTTTCTCAAATGAAACTGTTTAATAATCACTTACAGAGTAATTCATGAAATTAAAATGTAGTGTGACAGGGTCCACTTTCTGTCTAAGAAATATATTTATGTGCGGTTCGCGTATGATTTTTGAAGTATGTAATTTATTCTATTGTGTTTTCACAATAGTTGTAAACCGGTTTTGGCGGTCAGTATATAAAGAAAGTTTGCACGAGATTTAATTATCGAGGTTTGGGCAGTGACCATTGTCGCAAGTTTCTTTTGTATTGAAGTCTAATTTTCATTAAGAATTCTGTTTTTTTAATGTATTGAAGTTGTATGTAAAGAATTAATATGTTTTGTATATATTTTGTAGATGTTTGATTGCTGTCTTTTACCGGTATTGTTGATCAAATTGAGATTTTGTGATGTTTATAAAGGACTTTTTTCGTAGATGTGCATGGTTTCCTTATTCAAAACATAAACTGTTATTTATATTTGATAAAAAAATTGTGATCTCTGGATCTTATTAAAATTGAGATGGTCATTGCGCCTAACAGTACCTAAATATGTATTTAGTTTTCTATTATGCCTTTATCGTATAAAGGTACATATCTGAATGTGCTCAGATATGTATGCTATACAAAAATCTAGAGAGATTTAGCACATAAATACTTTATGTTCGTTTGAACACAGTGAATTTAGAACATAAATAGTGACAAATTAAGCAGATGTCTTTGATATAGCGAATCACCAGTCTCCCCTATGTAGATAAATGTGTCAAAGCATTTGCAAAATAATGCTTACACTAAGCTAGCTGTCTACAGTTGATGTTTTTTTTTTTAAAGTTAAAAGTTATGCTTTCAAAGTTGGTAAAGGAAAAACTTTTAAAATTTCAATAAGGAAAGGCTTAATACTTGTAACTTAACCATATACATTTCCCTCATTTATTAAAGCATATTAACATAAAACAAACCTGTGGTGCCTGTATGGTAACTCCTGCTGTAGTTGTTTCAAAAACATGCTCATATTCACCAGCATATCTACTAACATCTGTTGATGTACCTACGATATTACAGTACATTCCAGGGTTAAACACACACAATAGTTACTAATTTCTACATGGGTTCAAGTATGAAAATGACAAAAAGAGACTGGTAACTTGAATCCTTGACTGTATCTTAATGTTGACTGTAAAAAAAAACTAAGTCCATGTATCAGTAAAATACAGAAAAAAAAAAGAAAACAATTTCCAAATTTTGCTCTAAATACTATCTTTTGGTTATAAAAAGCGTCTGTCTAAATTTCATAAAATTCCATGAAGGTTTGACAAAGTTATATGTCTTAAAAAAACATGAACCATAGATTGAACCTAAATGATGACACCACTGCCACCAACAACAATGGAAAGTAAGATCCATATGTCTCACTTTTGAGACATAAATGTTGCAGGCTCAACAAAAAAATGAAGATATGACAAAAGATAACCACTGAAGGAGTTTCTCACTTGGGAGAGATACACCATTCAGTGTCTTTCAGAGGATCCCACACTGCATCCTGTCTGATCTAGACATCGAAATTCTTTTACATGCTATGATATCTGACAAAATAACTTTTAAAAAGATTACTTTACATATTTTGCAATATTTCATAGGTATCTGTACACCTGTCACTTCCATAATCAAACACAAGAAGTCTTTTGAATATTTGTGTTGTTGGGTTAATGTCCCATTGACATTAATCAATTTACCCCACATCTCTTTTTATTCATACAAAATTTTGGTCACGGAAATTAAAAAGATTTAACGTTTAATTATTTAAAATAAGACAGATTTTTCAGAAACGGTAACTGTAAAATTAATAGGTATTAGAGTAAAAGTATTCCTGTTATACATCGGTGTAAGAAAAGATAGATGATTTTTTTTTCCTATACAAAATTGACCATTTGCTAACTTGAGATCAGTAGGATATGACCACAACTGTCAATTTCATAGACATTTTTTTAGACACATGAACAAACACTAATAATGATTTGCTTACATTTCCTATCCTATGATTGGAAGACAGTGAAATTAATAATATATAACCATTTTACCTCCCATGTCAAACCCTATAACAGGCTGATCCTCATAAGTTGTCATTGCATAGCCAACAACACCTCCTGCAGGACCTGATAATATGGCACGAGAACCATTAAAACTGCAATAAAAAAATTCAAGATAAAGTATTTAAACAAAGGTTTCAAATTATAAAAAAGATTTATACTGAAACTAAACCATAAGTGACATATTAATCATTAATATGTCACTTCTGGTTTAGTTTCAACCACTAGTGGTAAATCAATGATATTAAGTATGCAGTTGTATAAGCATTGGCACACCTCATTTCCATTGATATATTTTAGGCTGCCCCCCTCAGTCATGGTCTATTGACTCTAAAACAATTTCATAGTTTGAATGTTAAAGTTTGTGATTAGGTCAGTTTAAGGGGGACCAAGGGGTCCCTGACCACCACCCCACCCCACCCCCAGTTTTGGTTTATTTAACAAGAGTAATAAGTAAAATGAATATTTTATATTAATGGTGGTTGGGTTAAAAAAGAAAGTACTTACCATGCCACCAACATGTGTTTAATTCTGAAACACCCCAAATCCAATAATATAACATAACACCTTGGATCCCCTTAAACTGACCTAATCATACTATGAAATTGTTTTAGAGTCAATAGACCATGAATGAGGGGGCAGCCTAAAAATATCAATGGAAATGAGATTTGCCAATGCTTATACAACTGCATACTTTATATCACTGATTTACCATTAGTGGTTCCCCATAAACTGACCTAATCACAAACTTTAACCTGTAAACTATGCAAAACATTCAAAGTCAATAGACCATGACTGAGGGGACAGGGCCAAATAATCAATGAGATGAGATGTGCCAATGCTTATAAAACTGCATACCATTGATTTACCATTGCATTTCCTATAGTTTATATAATGATTTCCTTAATTGATAAAGGATTGCTACTTACAAGGAGGTCATTGCACCAAGGAATCACAATTGCAAAGTCGATATCATTACTTCATAAGTTTTACAAAAGTTAACATGATTTGGTTGACCATAATGGAATATCTGTATCACAGATGACCACAGATATGTATATGTTCTTTTTTTACTGGACTAGATTTGGTGGTGTTACATCTTACAAAGTCTATTCGAATTATTTTTTAAAAGAATTCCGCTCAAGTGTGTGCTAGGGGCAGTCTTAAACTTGCAGTGAGGTGAGAGTTTTTTGCTCCGTGTTGAAGTGCTCACTGTGACTTTGAGATGAAGAACAGCAATAAAAAGGCTGTTCCTTTGCTTTTGTGTGTTTTTTGCCGTGCATGTACTGATTTTGATACCCTTATCCTTTGTTTTTCTTTTATGTTTAATTTGTCATAGCCATAATCCCATTCCTTTTCCTTGTTTATGACATCACCTGATTTCCATTTGCCATGGGCAACATAATGGGTACCACTAGTGGAGCAGGAACAGTTTACCCTATAGAACACCAGAGCACATCATCAGTTTTTGGTTGGATGCTTAGTCCTTAGGTTTAGTGTTTTGTGGACTGAAGTTTGCCTATCTCATTTTTCCATGGTGTTGTTGGTCTTTTTTAGATTTATATTTTGATTGTCCACTTGGTATCTCCTCAATTATTTTCAATTCTTATATGTCAATATCTGTGTTTTTGTTGCTTGGTTGTGGTATCATAATTGTATATACCCCACATTTCTTTTGATTCATATACATGTATAAGTATGTCACAAAAAACTTTTCAATATCTCATTTAATTGAAAATAGTTGTATAAGTGAAGACTACAACAGAGTTTGGGCTTTTGTCAAACAAATAAACTAAAGTTGGTACTTTTAGATAACTATAAATTAAAAAAATATACAAATTATTAAGCAGAGACTTACAGTTCCATAGGAGTCAAACCACCATCAGACTGCATGAACAACACTTTCGAGTCCTGTTACAACAAAAAATAATAATAGGCCAACTTTTATATGCATGCATTTAACAATGTTTTTGTGAAGTGTAGGGTGAATGTGCATGGCTATTTCACAATAAAAAATAATAAAATTGTTTACAATGTATGGATGATAGATGATAGATGAAACAGATAGGTCACATGTCCTATTTGAAGGTGAAAGTTCACAATGACTTTTATCGTCTACCTTTCCATGAATACCTTCATGTGTAAACTATAGCAATCCTGTATTTACTAGTCTCAATAATATAATGAAATAAGGTAACCAAGTTAAAATTCTCTTTTATTCCAAACTTTTAGTAACTAAAATAATATTTCCCCCTTTCAAAAATTAAATTCAACATCAAGGTAAGATGAAAACGCTATTAAATTACGATTGAGAATTTCAGAATATTTAATTATATACCTTAACATTATTATGGAACCCTGAAGAAAATCCAGCAACATATTCTTTAATACAAGGTGTCAGGTAAGCATCAGCACAAGCTGCAAAATATACATCATAGTCAGGTCAAATAAAGTCTTAAAAGTTCAACATAATATATTAGTCTTATTCAAATGAAGTCTGAGTCAAAACAAAAATAATGATGACTTTTTTACAATAATTTTTTTTTAGAGATATAACTGGCTTTGCTTTTGCTGCAAATTGAAAAAAAATTGACCTCAAATCAAATGTCAATGGTTATTTTATAGGTTGTATTTACCCATACAGATTTTACAAATGGACATTTTCTGACACTGTTTCAAATCTTTTATTTCCAAATACTTATTTGCCAAAAATAATCAAAAATCATTAGGAATTTTATATTGATATCAATGGTTTAAAATGAATAGATAACAAGATTATTGTAACACAATATAAAAGCTTTCAGTGACATTTTTTAGGCAAATCTTTATGAAAAATTAGTTTTTATACCATTTTAAGTAACTGGTACACAAACAGTTATAACCTTTTGTCCTATATTCTATAATGGGTTGGGCCAATAAAATACCATATATCTCATACAGTCATTTAGGAAGAAAAGTAACATACAGTTTGCATTGATATAAAAAAGAAAACCAACTTTATACTTTCTTTCCTGGACAGACAAGTACAGAGACTTGGCAATGGATTATTTCCTGTATCTATGTTGAAACTAATTCTCTAGAAGTTCTTTTTGTACCTGTATATCCCCTGGGAACAACTCTGATCATTGGCATCACATCAGATGACATTGACACGTGTGTAAATCCCATCTCCATGGCAACCTGACCTACTTGGCGTTCATGGTCTGAGAACCTACAAAACATATACTAGTACTTACAAATGATTTTTTTTATCATTTAACAGTCTATTATAATTTATTTTGTTCAGAGATCAATTTCTCCAAATTTTTGTAGCAGTAAGTTCCAACATCATTGTATCCTATAAACATCAACATCTGTTGAAACATGCTGGCATGCTGAAATGTCTAGAAAACATGAACAGTGTTTGTATATCAAAATATATCTTACATATATGAGTGAAGTAAAACAACTGCAAGGCTCTTTATTCCTTTCTGCAGAAGTATTTGTAGGTCTTCTTTCAACTTGGTAATGTTAACATGTTCCCATATTTCTAACTGAAATAAAAAGTTAGACTAAAGCAATTTATTTTTAATTCAACAAAACTTAAATAAAAAGATATTCATCTGTTTTATATATTGTTATGCTATTTTCGATGTCACATATTTTTTTATTTTAGTTTCAAGGGAATTTTATTTTGCTGATGTACTCAAATCCGTGTAGAAATATCTACTTTATGACTTATATTGCAATCATTACCATAAGACTTTTGTTCTTATAGATAATAATAGCATTTGTATAAAAATATAGTTTATATAATATAAGATTGTCTTTCACTGCAAATATTGTTTGAACTTAAGTCTCTGGAATATAATAAATTGTGAACCTTTTCTCCAGTAGAACCTGTGACTGTAGGACATTGTTTCTTTATCTCACATATATCTTGATGAAACACAACTCTCTCTTCTATCTCTATCACATCTTCATACAACTGATTTGGGGTGGCTATTTCCTGAAAAATAAATACAAAGTATTGAGACATATAGATGTATGATTTAGGCTTCAAAAGTGGAAACAGTTATATGGAAACAGACAAAAATAAAATCAAGAGGACAGCAAAAGACAAGGGAAACTCAAAACAAACAACACATCTGTATGTTCATAATGACATAGGCAATACAGAACTAAATCTTAGGCAACATGTCTGTGAATGTCACATTAGATGCCCAAGATGGAATACCATATCTTCTGTTTTTGCAAGCACCATGTATTATGTCGTCCTTTTTGAAAATCCAATAGAAAAAATGTCAAGAATGTTACATTGTAAGAATAAACCTCTTCAGTTAATTTTATCTAAAAAAAATGTTTTCAATCTGATGTTTGATGGCTCTCTTTTCTCTTTATTTGTGTATGTGTGTGTGTGTTGTTGACTTACTGTCTCATTACCATATATCCCAAATCCTGTTTTATTCATTTGCAATGTTGTCTTTCTGTTTACTCTTACAATCAAGAAAATATGTTCAATAACAAACTGAAAGTTTTATAAGTATTTTATTTGGGGTTTTTATTTATATACAAATTTTTATTTTTTGATTAATTTGTGAGTGCAAATATTCACCATATACATCACTGGTTGAACTAACAGAAACGAACATAAAATATTGCTAAAACAATGTTCAAGTTGTTGTCCAGACTAAGGTCAGCTCTAGAAATAGTTATGCAAATATCTCCTGAAGAAGATATAATTATTAAGCAAAAGTTTTGCCCCATTAAGCATTGATCCTATACTACCCAGAGGATACAAAATGTACATCACAAATGTCCAATGAACCTATATTTACCAAATCAAATATCTTGGGTCTAGCTTGGTTCCCTATGTGAAGCAGGTCCTTGTAACCTTTTGTGATAGCCAGTGCCATTCTTTCACCTTTTCTTTCAAGTAATGCATTGGTAGCAACCGTCGTTCCCATTCTGATCCATTCAATTACTGAAGAATCAATAAGTTCACTAGGTGGTAACTTTGTTCTAGATTCCTACAAATTTACAAAATTTCATACAACACTGACAAGTAACATTTAGATTAAAGTTTAGTTTTTTCTACAATAAGATTTTTTTTAAAACAAAGAATATATCTACCCACCCATATTGACCTTAAACTAGAGCCTCTTCAGAGCCTATATCTCCAACCTTTATCTATGTGCATCGTCAACAATGACCATTCTTCAATATTACAGACCAATTATATCTTTTGTGTTGCTTTTGTATTGCTGATAATGTTTGCTCTTTACATTTTCTCTCTCTCTGCTATAAATTTTGCCCAAAATGCAAAAAAAATGATAAAAATCATTATTTAAAAGATCTTGTATGGCTGATTATATTTGCTGTTTACAATTTCTACTTTCTACCTATCTATCATAGTTTTTTAGATAATTGGCAAAAACATGAAAATTAGCTAAAAATTGTCAATTAAAGGCAACAACTCCTTAAGGATTCATCCAATAGTTTTATTCATATAGGCATTTTTGTAGATCTTATATTGCTGATCGTGCATTTTTGCCTTTACAGTTCCTACCTATCTAATATTGGATTTTAGATAATACTCAAAACCCTGAAAATCATTAGCCAAAAATTATCATTTAAGAGCAAAACCACCTCAATGAGTCAAAAATAGGAAGTAGGTAAATCTTTACATTCTGATATTTTTTTACCTATCAGATTTTCTCTATCTTTAACAGGTCGGGAACACTACCTTATATGGATATGTATAAATTAGAATACTAATGTCCTCGCAAATATAATTGTTTATTTACGTATGACGCATTTTTTTTTTTACCTGGGTTGTTGACCAATCCACTAAATGAGTAACAATGCATGGACTACTACGTGTTTACAATCAACTGAGAACACGTGTTATTTACTGAAAAACAACACATTATTCATGCATTGCGGGATTAACAATTTCGCTTAGTTTTTCATTTTTTGTATCCACATTTATAGTCCATGATATAAAGTATTCGTTCCATGCTCAGATTAACGAAGAGTTGTTTCTAAGCGAAGAAACGAGTGTTTGAATTACCCGAAATATAGCCATTAATATGATTGATGATTACACAGAGATTTCAGGTATTTGTCAACAAGACAGCAACGAAACAACAGTGAAAAGCACAATTACCCATAAGACAAACTTTCATTCAGATAGTTAAAAAAATAAAGGATCCTTGAATTTTGGGTTCGTAAAAAAGGGGAAGACATAGAGTGTGTCAAATATCTGTTGGGGTCACCTGGGAACAGTATTATCTAACATATATATGTTCCTGGGGTCACTAAAATTTCCCAGCTTTTCAAAAAAATTGATGTTATGATATTGTACCTTCTTTTATGATTAAAAAGTCATTTAAATTGAGGAAGGGTATGTATTTATTAATTTGTCTTTAAGAAACAAACAAATGTACCGTAATCATCAATCAGGGCCATTTATAGCTGACAATACGGTATGGGTTTCTCTCATTGTTTAAGGCCTTACGGTTGCCTATAATTGCTTATATCAACTTCTTTTGAACTTTGGTGGATAGTTGTCTCATTGGCAATCATACCACATGTACATCTCCTTATTTTTATATACAAACACCTTTCAGAAAGATTGGTTTTCCATCATCTTAAAAAGAGATATTTACTGTAGAATACTGTGTAGGGTTTATATATTCAGAATTTGACAGGTACAGAAGACTATATCATCTATCATATTTCATCAAAACTGCTCAAGACATTTCTGAAATTCTTGTCTGACAATGTTAACATAATCTATCTATAAGTATTGATTTTTTGGCATATTTCAGTCTTTTGGACTTTTTATCTATTTCAAACTGTTCCCTTTGTTCTGAAGGTAATGAAGCAATATTTTCCTCAATCATTGCAAGCAGCTGTAGTTTCGTTTTGTATTCGTCTTTGCAAAGTTCGTTTTCTTCTAATGTAGATATTGGAATTTTGATATTTTTAACGGACTCAGATATTTGCCAATCTTAATAAAATCATTTATGATGGTATCCATGTTTATGTGTGACAAGGACGTGAACTTTGATATGTTTTGTAAAAATTGCAGCATTGGATCTTAACCTATTATATTTCTCTCATTTATTGGATACTTTTTCTTCTCGTTTGATATATAAATTTTGCTGTTGTTTTTTTCGTTTAAATTGTTTTACACTAGTCATTTTTTGTCCCTTTATAGCTTACTTTTCAGCGTTGAAGGTCGTCCTGTAACCTATGATTGCTTACTTTACTAGATTGTGTCTTGGATGGAGAGATGTCTCATTTGGCACTCATACCTCATTTCTATATACAAAGCACGTTTTAGAAAACCTAAATAGGCAACATGGCACCCACTATGATCTGGAAGATTTAAAGATTGAAGGTATTGCACATAAGTCAATAAGACAGCAGCTGAACCATAAAAATACCTCTTAGATATTTTTTGGGATAAAATTAGCAACAGACGGACTTCATCGATGGACAAAGGTATACAAAATATGTTGAGCTATTTACCGTCCCCACTTTTTATAAGACAATTTTTTGAGAATACTTTTTTTTTATGTACTTACTTTTAGATCAGGTCCTGATAAAAAGTTTGTCAGATAAGTCTGCATCTGTCGTTACATCCATATTGCCGGGCAGCCTGTAACGCCACAATGGGAACAGACTTGAAATTAAGCAGTGTTTCAGTGCCATGTTCTTTGTGTTTTCCAAGCAGCAATGTTTTTGGAATGGCATTATACAGGTTTAAAAGAGCTCAAATGATTTTTATACTGGACAATGGTCACTTCATTGGAATTTCACTGTTTCACACCGTGAAATTAATGTACAGGTACATTGCATAACAATGGACAAAACCTGTTCAACTACTTTTACAAGGCGAAAAACAAAGTCGAATCGTGAAGCCAGTAAACAATATTTTTTTAATCTGAGCATACAAATTGAAGATAATGTTATATATTTTACATTAAACACATTCGCTGAACAAAAACATTTATTATGAGAGTCCCAGACACTATATTAGTTGACAGTTTTCCCACTAATTCCATGTGTTTTGTAAGTGGTAGTAAACTCGTAGTAGCCCACAATGCATTGCAGTTCATTGAGTCGATTGGTAAGTTTTTCAAGGCCATGTTTACCTTCTATTTGGGAGCCTCCTCATGGGGTTTTTGATTATGTGATTACTTGGCCGTTTTTATAGTGATTATTTGATTACCAGACCAAATATTTCATGATTATTTGATTATTTGATAATCTAGGACTGTATTTTTGATTATTTTATTATCTTGTTTAAAAAAATAATTAATGAGTATGTGATTATATTGGCAAAAAATTTGTGATTATGTGATTACTTGGACACCCCCATGAGGGGCCTCATTTGGGAAATTACTATGCAAATATATTCTGATGTCAAAAAATCTAGAGTTCCCGACCTGTTTAATGGTTTTCAAGAGATGAAAATTAATGCATTTTACATATATCTTCTATTTTTAGCCATGGTGGCCATGTTTGTTGACTGACTGGAATAAAAAACACAAACTTGACTCTAAGGATAATTTAGGAAAGGTCTGGTTGAAATTTGGTAAAGTACTTTCAGAGGAGAAGATCTTCGAAAATGTTTTCTACACAAGAAGGACGCCAAGTGATGACAACAACTCATATGGTCTTTAAGGCCAGGTGAGTTAACAAACTAATGTATTAGTTATCAATTGATTTCAATGAGTACCACTTAAGTAAGCTTGAAGAGTTGTATTGATATTTCTATGTCTTAGATGCATGATCTTTTTATTAGTTGTTATTGACTTTGAACTAGCTGTCAATAACTGTGAGTACTCTCAGATCTGTACATAGTGTCTTTTTTGTTGAGGGGTTGTATAAATATCCTGCCACATCATGTCTGTGTTTTTGTTAGATGTTTTTCTTATTTGTATCGATCCGATGAAGCCCTTTTCAACTGATTTTTTTATAGTTTGTTCTTATGTTGTACTGTTACACCACTGTCCAAGGTTTGGGGAGGGTTTTTATATTTTTATATTTTATACTTAATCTCATCATTGTTAAGATGAAAAACAGCAATGGAAGTTCATTTATCAATCATTCAATATTTATTCGCGGACTGCTTATTTTCTTTAATTGCTCTTCACCTTTGATCAATGTTTTGTATTGACATTGGTGCACTCAATACAGAACAGCTTTGTGAGTCTGAGTCATTCTTAATCTGCATATTGCTTTGACAAAATAAACAGCTGTCGTTGATGTTCAAATGCAGCATTAACTTGCCATTCCTTACCATACATTTAATTCATTTTAATTTGTATAATTTTACCCTATTTTCATACTGAGGTACTTCGAAAAAATGAAAATGTAGAAAAATACCTGTTCAATTATTCTTCTGATACCCTCTCTTGGTGCATCAGGGTAGTTTTTGGGGTCTACTGATAAAAGTTTTGTAACTCGAACCTTCCCACTAGGACATTTGGCCCAGATATCTGTAAAGGTTCCTCCTCTATCAATGGCAAAGGTAAACTTTTTAACAGAAACAGACATTGCTTTTTTTCTGAAAAAAAATTGGAAATTACATATTAATTAAAGTTCTTATAAAACAAGATAGTCAAATGACTGAAGACCTGCTTCTATTAAAAAAGTTTTGAGCATTCTTGTAAAGTTCCATAATATAAAAGACTCAATGGCAGGAGTATTATAACTCTTTAACAAAAATTGATAGGCACTGATTTCAGAACTTGTCCTAGACATTGCTGATATAAACCTTTGATATAAATTTTATAACAATCTGGCAAGAATTGTACACATGAGAGCACTTACAATGCAATTTTCCATATTATTAATATTTCCAATATTAATGGGCATATTTCTTTTAAAAATAATTGAACAGCACTGATTTTCAAATTTGTCCGAGTCATTGCCAATTTAAACCTATGCTACAAGTTTCATAAAAATCTGGCAAGAACTGTACACATGAAATCGCTTACAATGCAATTTTCCATATAATAAATATTTCCAAGGGACATAACTCTTTTGAAAATAATTGATCGGCACTGATTTTAGAACTTGTCAAGACATTTAATTGCTGACATAATCAATGTTAATCAAATTTAATTGTGAGATTGAATAAATGTATTTTAAAAGACTATTATATATATCACTTTGAATTAAATTGATAAAACAATCCCAGTTCACCTGTCCCCATATGCTACAAACAACTTTCAAAGAAAACTGTAAAATTATAAAAATTCAAGGGACAAACAAAATATTCATGCAAAATGCTAGTTGTTCGTGAACAGTTGGATAATCTATTTAAAGTAACATGACCTGAGGTACATGAAAGCTCAGTCAGGCAGAAATTGAGGCATTGAGTTTACCATGTTTACTAAAATGGAGTAAATAATAAGATATTTGATGATTTTTACTGTTCTATCTTGTTTGAAGAGATGAAATTTGCTGTCCTTGTATGATGCAATTACCAGTCCCCTATATATATATATATATGTGGCATTGTTCATCATGTAGATGGTGTAAATAAACATCAATTTATAGTAAAAGTTTTGAGATGTCCACTTAGGCTTCTACATGTAGGTAATGTCTTGATTAATATTGGGAGCATCTTTTTACCACAGAAGACCACAGAACATCAAAAATATACCACAGAACTTCGAAATATAAATACTTCAGACATTATTTTATTGTTATTGTTAATTCTTTTGATAATTTGACATTTATTATTCAAATAAATTAAATTTTTCTATTTAGGGTCAACTCACTATCGCTACGCCCCCAACTGAATTGGCCTATTATTGGGTCTATACCAAAAACACCTACCGGTATTAAAACCATAATATACAAAAAATATTTAAAGTCACAACAATTGTAATTCTGGGGTATATTTGTGACATTTACTTTTTTTTTAAATACATTTTAATTTTTTCTTGTTATTTTTTTTCTTCCATTTTTTAGAATGTTTCTACTAGATGCATAACATAATTATATCATGTATATCTTAAATCTATTTTGTATATACCAGAATTTATCTTTTTTGTAGTTGTCATTTTTGTTTAATAATAAGTACATTTATATTATTAAGGGGGCTCGCGGGTTCAAATTTTCGCGCCAACTGCGCAGGAAGTTGCGCATCGATATCGCAAGTCATCCTATTGTCGTAATTGTCAATAATAATTAATTTTGATTATTATAAATAATCTATTTGATTTAGATATATAACAAAAGAATGTTGTTATCGAAAAACTATAATTCTAGAATTTTACAAACAAATTTATTGCTATTTTCATTGTTGCAAATGCACTTCCGTTTTGTGGTAATGGCATGTTCTTGCCGGCGTGAGAAGATAAACACAAGATAAATCACAATAATCGAACACGTGGGCTGCTTTTCATGAATACTGAAACAAAGATCGATAATATTAGAACACGATCTTCATTTTAGTAGCTTATGAAGCAGTTTCACACTTGTTTTACACTAGAAAAGGACCCGGAAATATGCGTAAAATGTATGTAATACTTTGTAAACAAACAAGGAATATAAATGTAAGTTATTCTTCTTTAAGTTTCTACCGATGCGATCCTTCGTTTATTGAAGATATATTTTACATCGTGTTCGAATGATCCCAGCACAAGAATGATTCACGACCGTAAAATCATTTGAAAGTTATTTTTTAACGGATATATGGGGAAAAAAAAGCAAAAAACAGGGACAAACATTAATGTGTATTATAAATTATATAAAATTGAGAATGGAAACGGGGAAAATTACATGTCAGGACAACAATCCGACCAAATAGCAGAAGATGACCTGTGGCCACTATGGGTATAATGGGTCTTCAACACAGCGAGAGAATCCAGCCCCTGGAGGCTGGGTCCAGCTAGCCCCTAAACAATAATGTATTGTCCAGGGAAAATGGACGTCACACTTAACGCCAAAACATATAAATGAACCAAAAATTAAAATACATACAAGACTAAAAAAGACTAGAATTTCACGACTTGGGACAGGGTGAGGCGCAAACAATATTTCAGCGAGGTTAAACATGTTTTGTCAGATGTTAACCCTCCACTGTCTGTAACCAATGTGGAATAAGCAAAAACACAGCAATACCCACACTAAAATGAGTGATGCTCAATGTACAATGTACTTGTGATAAATGTTATGACACATTTTTTACAGACCACTTAGGGTCCAGGAGTCGTTTTCACATTAACATGGTTAATCTTACCACTAAGATCGATAGTACAATGTAATTCATGGTGTGTTGACTAAATCACCATTTATTTGCAACTTGGCAGTTGTGTTATATATAAAAAAGAAGATGTGGTATGATTGCCAATGAGACAACTCTCCACAAGACCAAATGACACAGAAATAAACAACTATAGGTCACCGTACGACCTTCAACAATGAGCAAAGCCCATACCGCATATATAAAGTCAGCTATAAAAGGCCCCGGAATGACAAATGTAAAACAATTCAAACGAGAAAACTAACGGCCTAATTAATGTACAAAAAATTAACCAATAACAAAAATGTGACACATCAACAAACGACAACCACTGAATTACAGGCTCCTGACTTGGGACAGGCACATACATACAGAATGTTGTCTACATCAGACACCATAAGTAAATTAATACTAATGACTATTTGACTTTTCAGGGGAAAAGGCAGGAGTTTCTTTTGCAAACAGAATTTTCATTCACTCTCTTGTTAGTTTAGATTATTAGTCCCCTACCGACGAAGTCGAATGGGACTTTTGGTTTGCACTCTGTCAGTCTGTCTGTCTGTCCATCCATCAGTAACCCCACCACCCTCTTTTTTTAAAATTCTGGGTCCCTCCTGTAGATTATTCATGTAAAACTTGGCACATATCATACTGTGTTGATTATTTAATGATAACATGGATAAGGTGAGGTGCATATTGAACTATATATTTCAAACAATTTACTGTTGTATTAAAATTTTGTTCTCTTTGTTAAATTTTATGTCAAATGTCTTAATTAATAAAGTTATATCAGTATGTGTTTTGCTAGAACAGTACACTTTTCATGGACAGAATTAAAAAGTTAGATTAATTCAAATCGGGCTATGCTTATAAATTAGTTGGAATTGAAAAAGGGGGGTACATGTAATAGTTCTTATAATTTTTTTCAAAGTGGCAAAATGTAAAAGGTTATTCAGGTTATTTCATTGATTCGTTACTTTTATAATTTCTTTATTACATACAAATAAATGTACATTTTTTGTATTTTTTAACATATGGGAAGTGAACGGCCATACTTTGAGTTAGAGCTGGTAGATATTCTATGATTTTAATATATATTTTTGCCTAAAAGTAGAACATTATATAAAAAAAAAGATGTGGTATGATATCCAATAAAACAAAAGAACAAATGACACAGAAATTAACAACAATAGGTCACTGTACCGCATTCGACAATGAGCAAAGCCCATACCATATAGTCAGCTTTAAAAGGCCTGTAAAAATTTAATTGAGAAGGTGCAAGTCTAGTGTGTTTTTTTATATTTTCATTTACCAGGTATTGTCTGAAAGAAATGCAGGTAACAAAATGTTACAAATATGTTTCTAGGATTTTGAAAAAAAGGAGCAAAAGCCTTCCCAAACTAGGCAATGGTTGAAGTGGGACATGTAAAAAGGCTATGAATTAACCATATATGTACATCCCCTAAATCCACCTCTTTAAAATAATGAAATAATTTTATTTTCAAACTGAATAGACATTTTTTATAGACTTTGCATGACCTTAGACATGTTAGAGTAGGGAATTATAAAAGAGTTGACAAAGTAAATATACAATCTTTATTAAAGACAATACTGATATATCCATTTTAATCATGTAGCTTACTAGGTAGTTTATTTTTTACATTAATTTATTTAACAATGTTAAATGCCCTAATATATTATGTAGCATGTATGTAAAGCAATTGAAGAATCATTCAGTGTACATTTAGTGTATCAAGGATTCAAGATTTATTACAATTATTCAAAATTTAAATTAATGTGTGTCTGAAAAATAAAAGATTATCCAAAGAAGGTGGCTTTACATGCATGATGCATGACATAAAATTGTTTTTTTTTTCTACCAATTTAAAATTTTTAAGGTTTTTTAATTCTTCCACATGAGTATAAAACGTGCTTGGCCATGTATAATTGAATAGAAAAAAATGACAGTGCAAGGGCTGTATAGCCAGTCAAGGTCTTTAAAACTCCAATCATCATCATGATTGAAAAAAGTTATTTGGTCAATTTAGGCAATAACCCATATTTACACATAAAAATTAATACAGAAACTATAGGAAATAGACTGTTTTTGCATAAGTTAAGAAGTACAATGTACGCTAATGCAATATATTTTTCAATTTTTAGTGGAAAACTTGCATGTAATTTTAGTCCCAATTGTTATACACATGTTCATTGTATTTGGTGAACTTACTATCCTACCAAAGAAAATAAAGGTAGTATATGAAATGAAACAGGTACACTTATCAAAATAATTTACTGTTGAGAACTTT